CGCCGCAGGTGGCACGCCGAGGGGTAGGTGACGTTGTTGTTGCCACAGAGAGCGTGGTCCAGGCTGGTGGGCTCAGGGCAGGGGGCCGTCCGGCACATCACGCAGTGGGCGCTGCCTGTCTGGTCCACCACACAGGTGTGGGTGCCAGGGCACACCACGCTGGAGCAGGACTCTGCAGGGAAGCACAGGGTTGGAGTGACCCCAGGGACGGCCGACCCCTTCCCACAGCTACTTCACCCCAGGCAGGCTTTGGGCACCATCCCAGGGAAACGCAGCCCCCTCCCTCCTTTTGCTACCAGGGCACAGAGCAGAGCCAGAGGCCGGAGGGTCCTGATCTGCCCCATCAGGGATGTTCCCAAGGGCAGGAGCTGGCAGGGGCCGGCACCCTGAACATAAGGGAGCTCATGACCTTGAGTCCCCAGGCTCGGCCCTGGCCAGAGCTTTGCCACGCGGGAGGAGCCGAGGTCCAGCTGCAGCAGCGGAGTGCGGGGCTGAGCCCGCTCGGCGCAGCGGGACCCGGCTGGGCCAGCGGCCGCACGCAGGTGCCTTGGCAGGGAAGCAGCAGCCACTGCGGCCAGGCTGGCAGCTGCCGTGCTGGCCCCGGCGAGAGGGAAGGGCAGGGTCACCCTGGAGCAGACCCAGCGCTGGAACGAGGGCGCACGGGGGTGGAGGGAGCCTGCGCAGCAGGATCAGGCCCTGCACAGGGCTCTGCTGGGGTGGGTGGAGGCTCATGCACCCCCATCGTCCCTCCACCCTCCTCTCTTTCCCTGATGGATTGGAAGATTTGGCATCTGCAGCTCCCAACTCCCATTTCTTGCCCCACGTTTCCCTGCGCAGCCCAGAGCTCGACAGGCAAAGCCTTCCAGAAAGGAGGGCTGGAAAAATAACCATAATCCTTCTGACAGCTCTTGGCAGGGCTGGGAGGATCGCTGCACTCTTTACAAAAGAGGAAAAAAAGGGGCTTGACGTTTGTAAATGACATTTTAGGGACTGTTACTGCTCAGCCTGCAGCAAGGCCAAACCCCATTGCACCAACAAGCTGCAGTGTTCCCTCAAGGGGCAGCGAGCCCCGTGGCCTGCAGGGCCCTGTACCGGGACAGACCTTCCCTCCTTGTACCACAGGGAACGGGGTCAGGACAGGGACAGGATGGGGATGGGATGCAGTGGGGCAGGACTGCACCTACTTTTGCATTTGCCCTGGTACATCACTTCGAGGTCGGGGTGGTCTCTGCACTTGGCCGTCAGCAGGTCACACTCGTCCCGGTAGGTGTAGCCATCGGAGCCACAGACCTGCAGCTTGCGGGGCAGGCTGGAGCAGTCGGGGGCACAGGCACACTGGGGACGGCCGTGTTTCATCTTGCACACCTTGTCGGGGCCACACACCACCCCCTCGCAGCTCTCTGGGGACACAGGGCAGCGGCACGTGAGGACGCGGCGCTGGCTGTCACCCACCAGGACAGGGTTTGTCCTGCCTAGCCCCACAGTGTGACACCGAGTGGGACAGGGACAGATCCCAAACGCCCCCCGGGTCACAGCACACGTGCTGACGCCGAGCTGTCCCAGCAGCATCTGGATCTGCTCAGCTCCAAGGAGCAGGTCGTTGGCTGCGACTCCGCGCAATCCTCCAGTGCTCACCCCAGCCGGAGCCCCGGCTCCGCTCAGCACCAGCTCACTCCTTCCCATCTATTTATTCTTTGGAAGGAGACATTTCTTTTTCTTGTGCAATGGAAAAATCTATCTCTACAAGGCCCCAGTTCCTCCAGAAGGAGCCGGGCTTCGCGAGTTGTCCGGGCGATGGGGAATGCCGCTCCCAGCAGACAATGCCCGGCCCTGTCTCGCTCCGTGACTGGAACACAAGAGCGGGAGGCAGCAGCCAGCGCCGGTCCCCAGACAGGCAGATGCTTTGTCCCCCTGGGTCACCTCCCGGCCAGCGCGGGGGCCAGGTTCAGGGGGTCCTGCCAGTGCCCCAGGACCGTGCCCACGCTGGCGGGGATGGAGAGGGGCCACCAGCTCCAAGCAGGGGCCCGTCCTGGAGTCCAGAGGCCCAGACACTGATGCCTCTGCACGGACAGGCAAAGGGGTCAGCAGCAGGGTTGGGGGGCTCTGGCTGGGGCAGCTGGACTCTCCTTTGCCTCTTAAAGCACACACATCCCTCACCCCAAAAACACCCCCACAGCTCCCAGGACACGGGCACTGCCGGGACCCAGCAGCACCCACGAAGTTGAAGCCAGGGCAGGACCAAAAGCCTTCCCAAGATGGGGATTCACCCTCAGCAGGAAGGATCCCGGCAGACAGGGTGTGTGCTGGGAGCTCTGGGAGGCACAGAGGGGGATTTCCCTGTGGGAGATGGGCCACCTCAGAAGACACGGAGGAGGAGGAGGAGTGGGAGAAAGAGGAGGACAAGGAGAAGAAGGAGAAGAAGAAAGAAGGGGAAATTCCCTATCTGCTTGGCTCAGCTGTCTCTGGGGGAAATTCCCTGCTGGGAAACACTTTCCCATTTTGCTCCCTGATTTCCATAGCTGGGGCCTGTCACAGGGAAGAAAAAGCTGAGACTGGGGGACCCCAGGACAGAGGGGACACCTCCATGTCCTGGGGCTGCCAGAGCAAAGAAGACCCTCATCACCCTCCACTCTGAGATGCTGCCAGCAGAGCAGAGTCCAGTGATCCAGGCTATCTCAGCAAAGGATAGTTGGAGCAGTTGGAGAACCCTGCAGCCTGGCTTCCCCCTGCACTGGGTCCTTGGGGGGGACACTGTGTCTCCAGCAGCTGGAGCCAGGAATTTCACCTTCCCCCAGAGACCCATTTGCAGAGCCCCCAGGGTCCGGCCAGCACCATCCCTGGGCTGCAGCCCACTTTATCCTGGAGTAACCTCTCCCAGCCTCGCAAGCCCGGGGAGTGGGAGCACAGCTCCTCTTATCCGCCCTCTTCCAAGGCCTCTGGAGCCCGGTGAGGAGCAGCACCAGCTCCATCTGGATGGGACAGGCAGGGGCTGGCTGAGGGTGCGGGGCTGTGGTGCATGTGCTGGCCAGGCTCTCCAGTGGTTTCCTCAAAGATCCTGCTGCCAGACACGAATAAACCCCAGGAACCACAGCCCCCAGCAGGGTCTGTGGCCACTGCAGCCCCCACTGTGTCCCCCAGCCTCCCGACAGAGATAAGTGAGGTGAGTTCAGACTCCTGGTTGAGGGCTGCCTGTCCCCACTGCACTTTGCCTCCAGCACAGGGGAGCCCCTGGAGAGGGTTCCAGTGCTCCCAGCTCCTTCCAAGCAGGGATGGGGCCAAGGCCAGGATCTCACTCAGCTTTTGGTTGGCGCAGTGTGTGGCCCCAAGCTACAGCAGGACAGCCCTGAGAAGCTGCCATTGTGGCGGTGCTGAGGGGTGCAGGGCGCTGGGGGAAGTGGTTTTGTTAAAAACCTTTTTTCCCTTTAAGCAAATAACAACATGACCTTCCAAAGCCCTGCTCCTGCCTCCTGCGGGCGGCAGGTCCTTGAGCGTGTTCTCACACAGCCACGCAAGTGCTGGAGGATCCGCAGCTCCGGCACACGCCAAAACATCTGGCGGGGCTGGAACTCACAGCTGGAGAGTTTCCACTTCTGGAACTGCCCGTTACATAAAGCCATTTCACACACGCGCTGGGAGGAGCGAGGGGCAACAGAGGGGAAGAAATAGATCTTTTTTCCTTAGAAAAACCTGACGAAGTTTCCTTCTGAGCAGCCGTGGTGAGGGCAGGGGAGGGAGGCCCCAGCGCAGAGGGGTTAACTTGGGAACAGCCAGCCCCAGATCCTCTCCCTGCACTTGGCTGCCCAGCCAAGACCTGGGTCATGCATCCCTCTCCACTGGGACAGCAACTAAAATACACTCAAAACGAGAGCAGCCGGGGGACACAGGCTGTCCCGCCAGCCCTGATCCACAGCAGCATCCGTCCAGGAGCTGCAGCAGCAGGAGCAGGGGGTCAGCAGTCCCTGGGGTCCCTGTGCTGTCCCAGACCACCAAGGAGAGCCCTGTCTGGGGAAGGGCAGCCCAGCTCTGTGCTGGGCATCTCTGCCGCATCACCCGGAGCTACAGACTCTGAGTATTGCCCCCAGGGCTCCACACATTCCCCATGGGCAGAGCTCAGCCCCACAGCAGCCTCTCACCCCCCAACCTCCTCACCTTTGCAGGGGTGGCAGGTCACCAGCCCCAGGAAGCCCAGCAGGCTGATCTTGTTGCCTGGGTAGGTGTAGTTAGACCAGGCCACATCCACGTTGCCGTTGGCACAGCATTCCTCCCACGTCACGCCTGTCTTCAGGATCATGGTACACTTGGCCTCCTTCCCCTGTTGCAGCCAGCAGATTCCACCTGTGGAGAGGGCAGAGGGTGAGGGATCCCTGCTGTGCCAGGACCGCAGTGAAGGGCAGCAAGATCCTGGCTGTGGCTGGACCACCTTGGGGCAGAGACACAGGGACCACTCCAGTACCTGGGACAAGTTGGGGAACCTAGAGATGCTCTGTGCTGGTTCCTGTGGCACAAGAGCTGTCCCAGAGCAGGCATCCCCAAGGGTCCCTGGCATGGCAGCTCAGTGTCCCTACAGCCATCCCAATGCTGCTGCCAACAGGCTCCAAATCCAGCATGTGGACCACAGGGATGGACCAGTTATCCCAGTGCTCCCTGTGATGCTCTGGGAGATGCCCAGGGTGCCAGCCAGGATCTGGGCTTGTAGCTTGCCTCTCCCTTGTCCTACCCTCCCTCCTTGCATCTCTACCCAATTCCTGCCTGGCCCCACAGAGAGGGGGTCCCAGCCCAGGGCAGCAGACAGAGTGGGGCCAGTGGGGGGCTGCTGTGAGGGCTGGATCTCCTGGCATGTTCCAGTGGCCCCAAAGAGGGATGGAACTGTTCCCTGACGTGAGAGCCTGACACCCACAGCCTCTGCAAGGAGCATCTGAGCCAGCGGCTGGAGCACAGGGCACTTGCCCCAGCCCTTGGATCTGGGCCAGACCCGTGGCACCGGATCCCTCTGACTCAAAAGCCTGTTTGTTCCATGACCCACCAGCAAATCAGTTTTTTTTTTTTTTTTTTTTTTTTTTTTTTTTTTTTTTTTTTGTGAGTGATTTCTTTGCAATTTCCGCCTCTGCAAACCAGCCTCTTGTGACGCTTATTTGGGTTCGTGCTCTCATTAGCTGTGCTTGAGGTTTGCTAAACGGCGAAAGATGGAAGGGAGGGATGGGGGCAGGGACGGGTCTTGCGCTGCCAGGCGGGAGTCGCTCCTCTCCTAAGCACGATTCACCCTGCTCCAA